TTGCCCGGCCACAGCCATACTTTAGGCCCTCATTATTTCTTGCCTGGACTATGGCAACAGCCTCCTAAGGAGGCTCCCTGCCTCAAGTCTTCACACCAAAGCAGGGGGATGAGGGAACTAACTCCCTCTCCCAAAAGTCAGCCTTGCAGAAATGCCAGAGCAGGAGCTTCAAACTCAAACAGACAGGAGGCCTCTAAGCTGTACAAAAGGGTCCCTGTGAAGGCATTACTGACTTAGAAAACCACATAGTGATGTTATCTCTGTTCTATAGTATTTTGGGGGGGGGGTGGGGGTTGTTAAATAATCTGGTTCAGGCTGAACCAGCTGCATGTTTGACACTTCTGACTCGGGGCCCAGAGAGCTGAAGCCCAGGGTCACACCCCTAGTCTCTGCATTTATTCACTAGGCCTAGCATTCCATTCCTCCTCCTCCACCTGGATCTAAGCCTTACTGGCCCTTCCCTTCCCGTTTCAGGTAGGGTCCAAAAGAAAGCCCATCTCCAGGGAATTTGTGAGATCCTCGCTATCACAATCATTCTCATGCACTTAGAGATGGGCCCATTTCTGGCTCTTGAACCTCTCCACCTCACCTTCAGTGGTCACTGGTCAGATACCAATACCCAGACTTGGTGGTGCCCTGTTCTTTACTAGGCACTGCGAAGGATTTCTACAGACTGGAAAGCCCAACACTTTGGGTTCCAGCACCAAAGCTACTGTCACCTAATCTTTGTGACAACTACTGAACTTAATTCTACATATGAACTAAATTGACTGAGATGTAAAATTCAGATTTGCACTGACTTTACAACTTAAAAAAAACATTTGTGATCAAAAATATTGCTTTTGAAAAAAAAAAAAAGGTCCCAGTTACAACTCTTGACACCAATACTTTTTCGGGAGAGGAAGCTCAAATTTACATTTTTCTCTTTTTTTTGCATCACAGACCCCTTTGGCACTCTGGTGAAGCCTCTCATTCTTATAATGTTTTTAAACGCCTAAGCAAAACACTATCACAAAACACAAAATAAGATCATAAAATCAATCATCCTGAAAGTTAATCAGAATGTTAAAAAAAAAAAAGGTTCTAGACCCCAACTTAAGAACCCCTGATCTAGAAACTGGCTCTTCCTCAATCTTCTCCTTCTCCAAATAGCAAACAAATGCATAATGTTGTTTAGAATTCATTATTACTCGATCCTTTGTCCTAGCTCCCTCAAGGATCTGGGTCTTAACTCCAAAGACTTCAGCCATTTGGCACCTGGGTGACTGACTCCACAAGGCACCCCATACTGAGATCCGAAGGAAGAAGTGAAATGACTTAGCACTTGAGAAGGGTGCTTAACAAAAACAGACACAATGAACTTGTACAGCCAAAATTTTCCTCCAAGTACCTGAAACTCTATTTTAGGCTGTCCAGCATTTTCTGAAATCGCTCCAATTGCTGAGAAATGAACGCCATTAACCAATAAAAAGTGGAGTATGAACTTTGTCTTTCCTTTTCAACTGTCTCATCTGTTCTAGATTTTATGTAGGACACAGAACAAGGGTTTTTTCCCAACAGCCCCGTCAGTAAGACCATCGACAGGTATCTGCAGGATATGAAATAGGAAAAGCCTCACATAAAGGCACCGGGAGGCCCCACTCTCCCGCCAGCCGCCCAGGGCAGCGAGGGGCCGGCTACTTGGGTCACTGGCGACCTCTGGGGACCCTCCACCTCCAAGCCTGCGCTTCCGTGAAATGGGCCCATCCCCGGGAGAACGCCCTGGCCACGAACCAACGCCCCCCAAAAGTGCCCAAACTTCGTGCGCCCGGCCCGGGCCCCCCAGCACCGTCGGCCCGCGCTCGGGGAGCCGCTGTCACGCCTGCGGCCAGCGCTGAGCCAGCCTTCAATGCTCTGTTCGCCGAGCCCCCCCCCCCCGGCACCCCGGGGGCCCCCGCCTTCTCCCCTCAAACTTTGGTCCCGCCCGGCCCTCCCCGCTCTCCGGACAGCCCGGGCCGGGGCCCCGAGGGAAGGGCCTGGGTCCGAGGCCCGGAGACCGCTGACACAGCCCGCAGGAAGAAGAGCCGGGGGTCCTCGAGGGCCGCAGAGCACCCCGCGGTGCGGCCCAGCCGCTTCCGCCCCCAGCCCCCGCCCCGGCCCCCGGGGCAACTTTCCCCGGCCGGGCCCCCGCCCTCCGGCCGTCCGGCCGCCCGTCCCAACTAAGTTCCGGGGAGGCCGGAGCGGGGCAACAGGTGGGCGGCGGCGGCGGCGGGGCCCGGGCCGGGCTCCCCCCTCCCCCCCGGGGTCCCGGGCCGAGGGGGGGGCTCCGAGCGGGGGCGCCCGCTCCCTTACCTCCGCCATGTTGGCCGCACTGACGGGTCACATCTCCGCGGCGGCGGGGCGGGGGCGGCGCGGGGCGGGGGGGGGGGGGCTGGGGCCGGAACCCGGATGTGAGCCGGCCCGGGGCTCGGGGGGCCGGCCCAGCCAGGCGGCGGCTCGCGCTGCGACGACGCTGCTGCTGCTGCTGCTGCTGTCGCTGCCGCCCGGGCTGCCCAGGCTGCTGCCGCGGGCCCGCGAGCGCGCGCACGAGCCGACTCCCCCCTCCCGCCCTGGCGCGCGTCCCGGCCGCTACCCCTCCCCTCGCGGGATGGGCGCGAGAGCGCGCCGCGGCGGGGAGGGGGAGAGGCGGGGCGCGGGAGCGCGCGGGGCCCGGGCGGCTCCAGCCCCGACGAGCCCAGGCCCAGGGGGCGCCAGCGCGAGAGTCCGCGGAGGGGGCGCACGTAAATGGGACGCCGACCGGGTCTCCCCGCCTGGCCCCCAGACCCCTCCCCCCAGGCCCGGGGAGGACCCGAAGCTCGGTGCACGGGGCCCAGACGGCGGCCAGGGCTCTCCGGATCTCCGGGCCTGAGTTTGGGGCCGATGTCTTCATTTCAGCCCTCGATCCATGGGTCAATAGGGCAATCTCGCCCCTCCCCCCACACCACCATCGCACCCAAGGGGCAGCACTCCCGCGCGTTCCCCTGAATAGCCTGAATTCAATCATGCCATTTCTGGACGGCCTCTGCCTCTAAACGGCCACATCCCCTCGCCCCCCAGAGTCGGTCCAGCGGTGAGCTCATTCACTAGGGCCCATCACAGCGCCCCCCCCCCGCCCCCCCCACCGCGGCCCCCCCCCCTCGAGCTGCAGGGAGAGCGAAGGGCTTACGACGTGCCCCATTTGGTTTGAAGCGCATTTTGATCCAAATGAAAAAAAACGACAACCAAGTGACATCTTTACCGAAGAGAACCAAGGCCGACCGACACCGGCTACGCGGATACGTGGAAAGAGGGTGGCCATGCGCACAAGGCGGAGGCCACTGCGGCCACGGCCACATCGGATAAGGACAAAATGGAGGCCGGGGGGGGGGCCTGACAACGACGGGGACCGGCGATACCGCAGCAGCTGCGGACGCGCGGCAAATGCAAACGTCAGCAATAGTCGATATGATGTTACACTTTCCAGATTTATCAAAAGGATGCTTGAGATACAGTTGCCAGAGAATGCTGACTGGGGTAAAATGTGCAAAACGAAAAAAAGAAAGGGTTTTGTGACTAAGATTCCACAAGAATCACTGCCCACAATTTCAAATACTTATTTAGTACAGATTTAGAAAGTATGTTAAATTTTTAGCACTAATCCTTGGAATCACTGGAAAATCTGTAGACGAGGGTGCAAGAGGACCTTTTCGGAGGTCTACGTCTGCAGTTAAAATGCCCTTTGCTAGTAACTTTCATTAAAAACAGCAAAACTGAGGAGATGATGTAAAAATGACACCTTGACCCAAATTAAACGGCAAACTTAAAACTCAACCAAAAAGAAACCAACACAGTTTAGCAAACTCTTCTCACTTGAGATGTTAGATCCTTCTTCCTATTGCAAAAAAATTAGGAGCAAATATCTAAATATGCCCAACAGCTACAACAATACACAGCAGGTATTTGAGTAATTTTGGTGAATACTCTCAACTGGTTTTCCATTGAACAAGTTACTTCTCCCAAGGCCCGAGGAAACATATCACTGTTACGATGAAGATGACATCGGTGTCTCTTTGGGCCAAATCATTCGTTACAAATCAGGTTCAGACTGTGCAGCTACCCAACTGAAATGTATCTGAAACCCCAGTCTCATTTTAGCCGGCCTTCAGCATATCTAATTTCCCTCCAAAATGAATGAGCTTTAAATTGTATCGTCTGTAGATTTCCACTTAGAAATGACACTCTCCATGGCAAATGGCTAAAAATATCTGGATTTTATAAAAATGGAGGACGGTGCTGATGCACAGCAGATGTCAAGCTGCCACAAACCGGCTTAGAAAACCACAGATTAACATTACCTATGCTGGAGTGCGTTTTTATTCATTTTGTTTAATCTCCTTCGGGTGGCCCTCTAGCGTCGAGCCCCAAGAACTGGCCTCCCAGTCACCAAGATCTGGCTGTGACACTGGCACGGTCATTTAGGCTCTAGACGAGCGCCCACGAAAATCAAGAGGGCCCTCCCTTGGCCGGGGGCACGTTAACGATAGTTCACATTCGCATTCTGCGGATGCCTATCTGGACAGGCCGACCGGGAAAAGCCCCACGAAGACGCCGGCCGTCTCCACCCCGAGCCCCCGCAGCTCCACGTGGGGCTGGGGGGGCCGTCCGGCATCCCACCCCCCACCTCTTGGGGGGGCGCCGACGCACGTCTGCGGCCGCCTCCGGGAGAGGCCGGGCACCACTCCCACCCGGGGGCTGGGTCGGGAGGATCGCGGGGCACCCCTGTTGGGCTGCCTCCTGCCCGTCTGCACCCTCGTTTCTCGCGCACCATTTACCAATGCACCCCCTGAACTGCCCACCCCCGGGGGTCACCGGGTTCCCGCGGGATCATCGCGCGGGCCCCGGCCGCACTCACACAATGCAAGGCACAGGCGGGACGTCCGCGCTAATCGAGGGACCCGCTGCCCCCCCCCCGGCGCCCCCCCCCCCCCCCCCCCGCGGCCTACCAGCATCACTTCCGGCTTGTCGGGGTTGAACCGCAGCCAGTTGGTTCTTAACCACGCCCGAAATTCAGCCAGGCACTGGGAGAAGCGGGCCACCACACCATCTGCGGGGAGAGGAGAGGGGGTGAGGGGGGGGGCCCGAGACTGCGCCCCCCCCCCCCGGGGCCCCGGCCCTCCCCGCCACTTACAGGCTGGGCCTGCGCGCCGGGCGCCTCCCGGGACGCGGGGGTAGCCCCGGGCTTGGCCGCACGGCCCCTCCAGAGCTCCGCTCCCGCGGCTCCCCGCCCCTCCCCCTCCTCCTCCCCGCTCTTACGGCTCCCCTCCCTCCCTCCTTCCTTCCTCTTCCCTTCCGCGGCCCCGCAAGCTTCCGGCCAGCACCCTCCCTGAGCCCCTTTCCCCTCCCCTTCCCCTCCTCACCCCGGGGCGCCCCCCCACCCCGTCGCGCTCCTCGCGCCAGGAAAGGGGCGGGACCGAATCGCTCGGCGCCGGAGTGGGCGGGGCAGGGCGGGGGCGCGGACTGCGCGGCGCCGCCGACGGGCGGGGCGGGGCGGGGGCGCGCGGCCCCACCCGAACTGGCTCGAGGCGCTAGAGGCCCAAAGCAGCCCGAGGCGCGCGCGCAGCTGCGCGGGGGGGGGGGGGGGGGGGGGGGGGGGGGGGG